GGGCTCCCATTCCTTCCCTCAGGTTCTTGGGCTGAGCAAACAGTCAAAATATTATACTGTGATAGGCTGGGACAGCCAGAATTCTTCAGGAAAGAATAAAACAGACAACTGGGGTGGCTTAGTCACAAAAGGGGAAAGGAAACAGTGGGAAAATCTTGACTCTAAGGTAGGGAATGGACGGGGATGTCATAGCTTGATGCTAATTATATTCATTTGTCATCATCTGTTTCCCCCAATCTCATGCTAAGAATGTTGATGGAACAGTGATGGTATTGGATGACCCAGAAGCCTAGTGAATACTGAATGTTGTTTCTGAATGTTCTTTTTTCAGAAAAACACCTGGAATTCATTGTCATAAGAAGGAGTGACTGTCATTAATGTAGTTAGCTTTAACACAACTAATTTTTTTTTTCTTTATCCAAATTTAGTACTTTACTGGTTAACTTAACACAACTAAATGGAGCCTCTACGTACAGCATACTTCTGAATATCAGTAGTTGGAGATACACATTATGGTAAGGCCTTCATGTCTTATCTTTTAAGTGCCCAAAAGTGTCTGGTTGACCACTATTGGAAACTGAATACTGGGCTAGATAAATTCAGACCTCACCTAGGTAGGAAATTCTTATTCTATTATATTTTCTTCCTCTTAGAAGTTTTCAGGGAAGTCAAGGGGTTGCATGTAAAGAACTACAGACAGAACCTGCAGGATATTTCCTGGCTCGAGGGTTCATCCGCCCCGTTTCCTCCCAGTTCGTGGCCCCCATTCTCTTCCAGAAGAAGAAAGACGGGGGTCTCCGGCTGTGCACAGGCTACTGGGGTTTGAATGTGGTGTCAGCTAGGAATGCTCACCCCCTGCCTTTGATCAAGGACTTGAGAGACGCATACTTTTGGGTGCACATCCGGGAGGGGGACGAGCCTAAGACTGCTCCGTTGGGCCAGTTTGAGTACCTCGTGATGCCATTTAGTCTGCAGGCCCCCCCCGGGGTGTTCATGAACTTAATAAATGAAGTGTTGCACAAGCATCTATTCAAGGGGGCCCTAGTTTAACTTGATATCTTATTATATTCACATGATAGGGAGTCACATGTGAAGCTGGTGAGGGAAGTCCTACGACCTGAGCTTCTCGTTGTGGAGCTTCTCGTTGTGGAGGCCGCAGACCAGTCTGTCGCAGAGGGCCATATCCTGATGTGCTCCGAACGTGCACTCCGAAGGGAGCCGACAGAGCTCAGCCAGGTACACGGCCACCGGTTCCCTCGGTTGCTGGCTCCGGGAGTAGATCTCCGAGGGCCGGGGATTGAAGTGGTCCTTTTCGCAATGATGTCCTTATTTATTTATTTTAGATTCAATTTATACCCCGCACTCCCCGCTACGCGGGCTCAGGGCGGCTTACAATCAGGCATAAGCCAGTATTAAATATAAAACATATTTAAAACCATTTAAAATCTCTACAGTACAATAACATTATTATTAACAAAAGTGCTCTGAATGTTCTAGCATGATCTTCCACAAGATGGCGTATTACAACTGCTCTGCCACCTCAGCGTCGTCTGTTCCAGGAAACACTGATGTTCTCTCTTCCAGGGCCAGGTTATGATGGAACAGTAGTGATGGTGGTAGTGGCGGTTCCTACTCATACGCCTGGTGGAAGAGCTCCGACTTACAGGCCCTGCGGAACTGTGCAAGGTCCCGCAGGGCCCGGATCTCCTCCGTGAGCTCGTTCCACCAGGTAGGAGCTGCCACCGAGAAAGCTGTGGCCCTGGTAGCGGCCAGCCTGGCCTCTTTGGGGCCTGGCATCACCAGGAGGTGTTGCGTCCCTGACCGTAGTACTTGTGGGGGAACATATGAGGAAAGGCGGTCCCTTAGGTATGCTGGACCCCAACCATATAGGGCTTTAAAGGTAAGAACCAGCACTTTGAAGCGGATCCGGTACGCTATCGGCAGCCAGTGCAGCACTTTCAGTGCAGGCCGGATGTGGTCCCTACTAGGAATACAAAAAAATCTGGACACACACGACTAAAGCAGATAAACAAATACAAGGTCAACAGTTGTGTTAGTCTGACCCACAATCAACAGTCATATGACTTGTAAGAATTGCTGTACATGTATTGTGCTCTGAAGCATTACAATATGATACACAACTTAATAGAATTTATAAACCAAGGTACAACGTCGTCTCCGGATTATTTACCGTTTCAAAAAATGAATCTTCTTCAGGAAATTTTCTGTAGTACACAAAAATGCAATTTTTAGAATATGTATAACACCAATCACAAGAAACAAGAGACAATACAATAATCTTATTGCTTACTTACATAGAGGTGCCAAAGCTCTCATTTTCATAAAAGCTAGACAACAAGTCTTAAGCATCTGCAACATAATAATTTTATCTTTGTTATGAACACATATAAGATATTTCAAAATATTTCAAATTACAACTAATCAGCCTAGTAATAACTCACATCACGATTCAGATAGGACGCTGATAGGTGCATGTTACCAGAGGGCAATTAAAGGGACCTTGCAAATTGTTAACAGGTGGTGGGTAGTGGGAGGCAGTACACTTTAAAGAAAACCTCATGTAGTTTACACAAACATAATACAGTTTACAAAAAACATCATATGGTTTACAAAAAACATGAAAGGTCAATTTCTGCATTCAGCCCATTAGGAAATACACTGTTCAACCGGTGAATCCAAAACATCTCTCGCTGTAAGAGGCGTCTTCTTAAGTCAGTCCTTTCTCCAGGAGTTCTCTGTACAATTTCTAATACAACATATTGAAAGCTATCGTAACAATGATTAAACTGTTTAAAGTAAATTTAAAGAGAGAC